CCTCGTCTACATCTTCACCGACGCCCAGGACGCCGACAAGGCCGCGCACGCCGGCCGCCTCTACCGCCACTTCTGGCTGCGCGCCTGCGAGCTCGCTGACTGGATTCGCAAGGTAGGCCTCGCACGCACACATCTCTTCCCGGGGTTGCAACATGTGATTTGTTTCCAGGAGAATCAACAAAAAAGTTCATTAACGCGCTAGAAAATAACAAAATTAAGTTAGGAGCCTTATGGAGTAGGAGAGGTGCCCGCGATTAAAATTTAATTGTGATTTTTGACGGCAAATCTCTTCTATATCGTTGAAACAATTTGTATAATTTTGGGGATACACATCATGGTCCAACTTCAAAATTTATCCTACCACCTTAATCGTGTAGATAGACAAACTGACGAATATCCGTCTGTTATATCAGGGGATACATCTCGACAACGTTCGGTGTATTACTCGAAAAATCTGTATGTTATCGTGCCCTGTGAGAAAGTATTTTTGTGCTGTTATATTATAATCTGTACACACAACAAAACATGAGTGCAAGCCCCCTCCATGAAAAACATGACCACACTATAACATCATTTTGGACGTGCCCGGATACTTTTTATCACAATAGTGTAGATTACAAGAAACAAAAGTTATGAATAATAAACTCAGAAGAGTCTACTAAAGACTCAGGTATGTATGTATTTTATATATATATATATATATATATATATATATATATATAAATAATGTGTGTGTATACAGACGATGATATAACGATATCTATTAGTGACTATCACAGACGGTCGAACAGGCAGACGCACAGACGGACACACCGACAGAGAAGCAGATACAGACGGGCAGAGATAAACGGAGAGACGTTTTGCCGTAAACCAAATTTTCGGCATCAATGTCGCAAAACCTAAGTATGTGTACACGAGTTGAAAGAGTTGAAATATGAAGTTATTTACTTGCAGTTTTACTTATACATGGTTATTTACGTATTATAAATATATAGTTATTTACTTATTATTTACTACATATAGGAACTGAATGATCCCAATTTTCATTTTAATGGGTCTGTAATACGACTTTTTTCGCATACATTTCGCTGTTTCCGTAACTATCCGTAAACTATGTAAGTAGTATGCGTGAAAGTAGCGCAGTATCATGATTTCGTGGTAGAGCTGTATAGACTCAGAGAACAGAGGGCTATAATTGTTCAAGTAGTTGGGGAATAGATCTGAGCAACGTAAGCCGAGAGAAGCAACGGCTAAAGACCGCGCTATAGTGCACGTCTTCCATCTTAAGTAGGTACCTCAATAATTTTTAGGCCCTTGAATAGCATTCGAATGCCGAGGAGTATTAAACAGTCTAGGAGAATAATAATAATAATAATAATAATAATAATAATGATAAATAATAATAATAATTAATAATATCTAGTCTTTATTAATGAGCAATTTTAGATTATTGGGCCTTGTTTCCTCTAATAATATTGTGCAATGGCAAACTATGTTTTGTCGACATGCTACCTGCGAAGTCATGTTAAAGTGATTTTTATTTTGACGAACTGTTTGTTTGTGAATGTACAACATATGTTTATGACATTGTGATTTAAAAGTTTTTATTTTATTTTGTTAACACAACATTGATGCAGCTTGTAATGCAATTTTCAACAAAATTCTCGTCTTTGAAGATTACAAAAAATATAAAAATACGTTTATAAAGCATTGGATCTCATTAATGAAGTTTTAATTAGCCGTCTGTTTTGAAATAAAAATCTGATAACCAATGCAAACAGATTTTTCATGAGATTATTCGTGAAATACCGTGCTCGATAGGAATTTTGGGATAATGTGCTTCTTTATATTTCGATTTCCTGCTCTACGTATGCTAATAAATAATAAAATATATTCGATGCACCTGCCACCGAGATAATGTTACTGAGTCCCGGTAAATGCAGAGTGAATGCACGCGTGTGGTCCAAGTCGGCGTACTCGCGAGGAAAAAAATAGGTTTGTTGTCATCGAACTGTGACTGGCGGCATTATCTTTGCGCGTTCTGTTGTCGCACCTAGACGATGGCGGACACCCTCCAGAAGGATTTGACGGACGTGGACTTGCAGGTGGCCGAAGCCACCGCCGAGCTCCGAGCGGTGCGTATCCAGCTCATCCGGGAGAAGGTAAGTGCGCTGGGCGCCATCTCCACACAATTAGACTTCGCAAAGACAGCAATATAAATATTCTCACCCACACTATACTCTCCCCGACCCGCTAACGATAAATATAATCTCAATAGAATGGTATGTATGTACTTGGCGCGACAGCCCGTGAACGAGCTCAGGCTTTCCGACGACGTTCCTGCGTCGCGGCCATGGGTTAAGGGGGTGCGTGTGGTTAGCACGTAGACACCCCCACACCGTATTGTGCTCGTCATTGCGAGAAAAAACGCACACTATACTCTTGCCTCTACCTGGAATCGAACCCGGGGCGTAGTGGAAAGCGACCACGCTGACCAAGAGCTATCCACGTGGCTGTCAATAGAGTGGTAGCCTCTCAATAAACTATTAAAATACTTCGAACCAGGGCTTTATTTCGGGCGGAACGCTGCGGAACGGCGTTTCAGAACCCCGGGAATAATTATTAAATTATATTATAAATATATAACAAATTCTATTAAATTAATAATTGATTTGGGGCGCGTTCCGGGACCTAACATTTTATAAATCAAGCACTGCTAAGAACTATATCGAGATTCAAAATTAAATTGGAGCAATTACATTGAAACAAAATAATATACGCGAAGGCAGAACGTCGTCAATTAGAATCGATAGTACACAGTTCACTACAAACAATATTACAATAGCAATATATATATATATATATTCATATTAAGAGCCAAAATTACTAATGGCTGTCCCATAATACGGATTAATGTCACCAATACAAATATTTGCTAACTACAAATAGTACAAAACCAATTCCTGAGAATCATAACTAACGCCCCACGTTTCATTTCCAATAATCAGCTTTGTAAAGAATCCAATATTGTTTCGTTAGATCACCACATCATGCACTTTTTCACGACCTTATATGATAACATACATCAAATCCCAGCAGTGACCCAATTCAGAACCACAAAAACTCCAATCCATAGAAGTAGCAGAAAATCTCCTTTCCATATATTCCAAATCAAATGCCCCAACATTGAACCTGACTAGAGGATCCATAGTGGGATATCTCCCATATGTGTAGTATGTAAGTTTAGAATATTCTAGTGAGTCAAGTAATACAAAATAGATATACAGTCAAAATATCTATGTATTACCTTCAAAAATAAAATTAATAATAAAACACCAGGGTTAACTCGATTGACGTTCCACAATTCGTTGATAACAGTCGAGAAGAGTAATCGGAAGGTACAGCCACAGTATTTGTATTATGCGCAGCTCTGTGTTGAATGCCCTGTGACGACGAGTTCTAGCGATCCGCGTAACGACCAGAAACACTACGCCGGTTACATTCGATACTACATTCCTAATACAGCCTCGTTCTGCTAAATATGACCGTATACGAAATGTTTTTATATATTTTACTTTACTTACGCGTAAAAGTAAAACAACATGTGTAGTAGAAAATGTGAGTATTTTTAAAGGGAAGAAATTATTTAAATCTAATGAATATTGTTCATTGAAAGTAAATACTGGAAACATGAGTAATAACAAGGTTTTCTTGATTTTTCATGAAAATATCTAAAAATGTAAGTAATCTGGGTACTAAATAAGGGTAACTAAAAGATAAAAACATTTCTCTTTTGCTTGTGGACAACTTTCCGCCTTTCCGTACAGGTCTACTAGAAAAGTAAAAGAAACAACTCAGGGTTCTTTTCTTTATTATTACTGCATTTAATTAAAGAACAGTACATCAGACTGAATAAAAGAAAAGGTTGACAATGACCTTAACATTGAAACAAGCATAAAATCCATTTCGTACTTACATAAACCCCTTGTAGATTTCGTATTTTGATGTCTCTGCATATCATCCTACTATTTCCAATTGCTATATATATATATATATATATATATATATATATATATAGAGAAAGAGAGAGACGGGGGGAGAGAGAGAGAGAGAGAGAGAGAGAGAGTGTACGTAAGAGTATACTGTCAATAACAAGGTGTATTTTCAGTTGGCCAAGCCTAGATTGCGAGGGACTTGTCGAATGGCTGTACTAACTCTTAAAAAGTTAAGAAATTAATTGCAGGGTGTCAAATAGGAATATTTGTTGTTTTCATCGGCAGCTGGGCGATACCGGACCACCCCTTATGAAGCCGGAAGGAGTCGCTCAGGCCAAGGTGCTCACCGCCCCCTTCGGAGCCGGGCTCCACGCACCTTACCGTAAGCATTCGCTATGAAGAGACTCTTCTTCGTTGTTCTCTCTGCTTATGCGGTCTCGTTATTTTTTGAATAATTAATGCCTAAAAATAAATATGAAATATTCCATAATTATCGAAAATATACTTTTTACTATAATCACTATTGTTATACGTAAGAAATGATTAATTATATTTTGATGTCTGCAAAGAGGTTGATATTGATATTTGTTAGTAGGGCATAATGGAAATTTTCGATTTTTTCAGTTTCAGTAAACAGTCATAACGGCAAAATTTAAATCAATAAGATTCATCACCAGGTGACTGGTAAAACGTGCCAGACATTATTCATCCTTATTGAATTAACATTAGTGTCGCCACGGTCATTCGGTCAATAGTGGTGAAAACATTATTCCATCAAGTAATAAATCAAAAAAATCAATAGTAGGTTATTTAAAAAGAAAATAGACTAGTGTCGGCAATGAATAAGTGGACCGCAAACAATTCTATTGGGTTAAGCGTTTTACTCAAAACGAATCAAATATTTCCCTTTGTGGGCCGTTCTTAAGTAAAATTATTTAGTCATTTTCGGTCTGTAAGTATTTTGCATATCTGAAGTATATATAATTATGCACAAACATTAGTTGTTTGTCGATGTATATCATAAAGTCTTCTTATTTCAAGGTTTTATTACCTTTCCGCGGAAGGGTTAAAGTCTATTTAAGCCCATTGCAGAAATTAAGAGTATTTATTATTTATTATTTATTATTTATTATTTATTATTTATTATTTATTATTTATTATTTATTATTTATTGTAATTGTGCGTTGCAGCGCCCACGATGGGGCCGGGCCCCGCCAGCATGGCGCCGCTGGAGGGCCGGCGGCGGCTGCAGCACTCGGCGCTGTTCGCGCCGGGCGGGGGGCCCGCGCTGTACGGGCCGGGGCCCAACCGTCGGCCCTACGACTCCTCGGCGGACGACGCGTCGCCGCAGGCCCTGCGGCGCGAGCTGGCGGCGAAGCTGCGCACGGCGTCGTCGGAGCGGTGGCCCGGCTCGCAGGGCGTGGAGCGGCGGCTGTGGGCGCAGCCCCAGTGACCGCCCCGGCGCCGCACAGGTCTGCGACGAGAAATGGAAAGAAAAGCATTCGGATACTCACGTGTGCGACAAGAGGGGAAAGCAGGCACGCGGGGTATAGAGCAGTGGATTTGGGTTGAGGACCAATTGACCAGCCCGGTGTAGCACAGTGTGGCACAGCGCTGCGACTAGAAGAAAGGAAAAGAACTCAAATACATATGTGTGAGACGAGTAGGGAAATTGCGCACGCGTTGTGGAGAGCATTGGATTTGCATTGGAGCGGCGTGTTTGGGCGCAGCCTATGGGGGAAAGATATGGACGAGCTATTGCACATCCGACTTCAGCTAATGAGCTTCAGACACCAGTTTGCGTCACAATATTAGCAGGAATTTTAAATGCACACAGATCCCCAAATTATCTCCTTTTTACAAGTCATTGAAACAGATACATGAAGCATTTCATTTAAATATTGCATCTTGTACACCTTCGTGTTATTTTTCGTTGGTCACTGTTAAAAATTGTCACTTTATACTGCTTTCAAAATGTTTCTCAACATGTTTTGTTCTTCATCCAGCATGGTGGCCAGAGTCTCGTCAGGCATTTCAAACATAGTGCCCGTGCTGTGGTCACGGGGTTCGTGCCGAAACTGGTGCTGCGCAAAACGACCATAAATCCGTGCGCAAAAATGAGTAGCTCGCCCATATCTTTCCACCATGCGCGAAGCCTCAACGACCAGCATGGCTCAACACAGTGCGGCACAGCGCTGGGACTAGACGAAAGGAAAAGCAAGCAAATAATTTTGTGAGGGGCAAGTGGGGAAATCACCCACGCGTTGTTTAGGAATTGGATTTGAATATTAGTAAATAAAAGTCAATGCGGTAGTCACTAGGCGGGATGTAGGTTCTGCGGAACCACTGGTACAAAACTTCGTCGAAGGCCGCCTCCAGAAAAAAATCCCCTGAATTTACTGACAAAATAATTATGATAGGATAACTTTGTGTACAAATACAAATGAAAATCAACAAATTGTTTATAGAATTGAACGTTATCTGTTATTTAATACATTTTTCATTTCTCATCTACAAATTAAAAAATCATTATTTTTCTTAGAGCTTCAATCAAATATTGATTTATTTTTTAAAAACAAACTTTTTTGTACAGTAGGCTATTAGATAAACAATTATTTTATAAATGCAAACATTTCATGACATTTCTTTCGAATATATTATATATTTTTTACGCTCCCAGTACCCCCTCGATGGGGGCCTTAAACAACTTTTGCTCGTGGGCACATCCGGGCCTGGATATTCATGAAAGGAAGCAGGCCATCATGAGATCAGAGCTGGGTGGCAGGTTTCCCGAGTCCGGTCAGAACTTCAGTTGAAGCTAGGAGCTGTTGTTTTTTGTTGTTGTTTTTTTGTATTAGGGTGCATTGCGCGTGGACTCTGCGGGTCTACATAATCTACTGATCAACTGTGGGTCTGCATAATTTGTCATGAGGGGAAGGCATCTGTTACAAAAATGGAGAAAATACTTTCATGAGTTAGATTAAAGTTCGGCGCTGCCAACGTATTTTGTCTGACCCTGCGTATTTTTCTTCGGATACTTCTCACTAGCTGCTGGCTCTTAGGATCATGCATTATTGTCTAGACAAGTTGCATCACTTGTGATTGAAGATGCTATAAATGTGATATTACAAAGATATTCCTCTATCATATGCACGACGTATGAGGTACGCAAGTAATAAAACCTGTTTGATGTGCTGCACTAGTTACGTTTCTGCAATAATGTTAAGGCCTTTCATCAAAAAGCATTTTTGGTAGATCATGATGCCACGATATTACATTAGATTGAATCAATGTTCATTTCTGTCCACTAACTGCACATGAACTTTTTCTGGTGTACATAATTGCATTAAATGTTGATTTTTATTAAAAAAGGAAACAGAATCCTTTGCAAAAGAACAATCAAAATTTATGTTTTTTAAGAATAGCTTATATCAAAGAGGTTTCTTCAAAAGTTTTTAATAAATATTAAATAGTAATGATTATTTAATAATTAGTATTATTTATTTATTATCGCCACTCTAGGCCTAGAGCGGTTTTGCAGTTCATTACATAGGAATAATAATACGTAAATAAATATTGTTAAAATATGATTGTTGCATAAACTTAGGTCAAGAGAAGAACTATATATAGGCTAAAAATTTTGACAAATAAACATTCTGCTCTAAACAGAAAACAAATATATTTTCTTCAATCCACAAACAATGAAATAATGTGTTTTTGTTTGATACAAGTGTATTTGACATGTTGACAATAACTATTCATAAAATAAGTGTGCACTCGTACTCGCACAGTATGCAGTACTTAAATTTTCAAAATTATGATTTAATTACGTGTATATAATTTATACCATATGTATCTCGCATCACCAGTGTGATTAATTTTGCAACGAATTAGTATTTGACATAGATATCAGCATTTCCTATACAATCAACTTTGGCAACGCCGAATTTTAACCCAATCTAATGGAAGCTCACAAACTTTATAATAGGCGCCTGGCTCGAAGTAAGGACTATGACGAAGGATACGAAATGCTGCACCCCCTTCTCTTTCATTTCAGGAACTTCAAGAAAGCAAAAAAAGTGGCGAAAGTGGAAGAAAATGTTTGACCCTGTGTTACGATTGTAGACAATACGAATATTTTATTGGTAACTCCTTAAATGTAAACGGGAAAGTAGAAATTGTACACATTTAGAAAATCTGGAGAAAGTATATATTTTTATTATTCTAAAAGTCTTTATCTTTTTAACAATACATATATTAGATATAATGAAAGGGTAGCACAATAAGTGAATCTTTCACACGGCAGCGCCGTTGCCCAACACTGCATAAAAGATACATTGGCTGTAATGAGTGCCGAATGACAATGTGTAAGTGTGGGAATGGATACAGAAGCTAAGAGGCTTTATCACGTTTTTCTTCTATCAGATTGGCGCGGCGAATCCTCCGTGAAAACATCGATTCTTGAAAAACGAAATTCGAAATTATAATGTATGCACTACCGATATCAAAACACAAAGAAATTAAATGAATTTTTGATAAAGCATGGGTGGTCTTAAAAGATAAAGGTGTCTGTGGGAATTATGGCCTATGGTTAACAATTTTATCAGGCTTGCTTTTCATCAAAAGTACAAATATTTTTTCAAACATAATAGCATAATAAGAAAAGATGCAATGTTTTACTGATTCTAACTGATTTGAAACATATTTATACAAATAACAGTATTTGTTCTTGATTAGGTAATCTAAAAACTGAAGCACTAAGTATGGAAGAATAAAAATGATTCATTTGTTTGAATCATAAAAATATTTGTCTTTCCTAGTGAACCTTACAAGGTAACTGGCAACAACAGAGAAAACGTCTGAAACGGCTTATCCCGTTATCAATACGGAGTTGCTGTCTATTAGGGGCAAAATGTACTCATTGATGACCTGGAGCAACATCTAAGTATGATTAAGAGGTTTTAGCGGTTTCATACTACGTTTGCAAGAAAATGTGGGCCCTATTACCAGACGTGTTATAATACTTTCAGCCACCTCACGATTCTATTGCATGTATCACCTACATTACAGTGTTTCATTAAAAAGAATTTTACTCTTTTCTTCAAAAAATATTGAAGAAAGAAGTGGGAATAACCGAACCGTTGGCGAATAACGCAATATTGCTTTTGCATTGATTTTTATTTAAAATTTGTTCATAAATTTGATGTTGGTGAGAATGATATTCTACGAATAATTTCTAATTTTCGTTAACTGATGTCCTGTTTCTGAAAAGGAAGTAGTGGAACTATGAACCTCTTTGGCCAAAATTAAAGGCGATTGAACGTAAATATACATTATTATATTCTTGAATTTCTAAACCACTTCCTACATGTACCAATAGT